TAGTTTTCATATTAATTTGAGCACCTAACTTTCCCACCCAATTAAAATAATCAGACTGCCCCTTTAATCTGTACCGGTACTGGCATTTCAAAATATAAGATACCAGTAATGCTAAAAAAATTAAACCTACCTTACACACATATATATTCCTCTAAACATGAGGTTTCTGTCTGGCGTAGGTAAACCAGCCTGAAAAGGCACCCCGCCTGCCGTATTCAATGATACGCATGACGTTGTTGACACGCTGATAGCGTGACCGAAAGTTGCTACTGAAGATTGTAGGCGAGTTTTAACAACCTCAAGGGGACATGTTAACACGGCTCCTGTGGTTCCAGCACATCTGGAAGGACGAAAGAAATTTCATTAGTTACTTACATACAAGACAAAAAATAATCATAGAGTAACAACGAACAAAAATTCCGTGGAATTATGTACAGGTATTGATTTTTACACATTGAAATTTTTGGAATGTGACAATGACAATATGACTGATAGTCTAAGAATGACTTTGTGTTTGAACATTGTTTTTACAGAGGATTATTTTGAGATACAATTAGAATTAGGCTCTTGAGGCTCTTTTGAACTTTTTTGGTTGGAATTTTTAGGAGAAAAGTGTGTTTATTTGTATGTAAACTTTCATACCAGTACAGTAATCATTCTAAGACTATCTTTGCTATTTTGAAGCTGATATTATAATTCATTTAAAAATTATTCACAAAGTTTGATTGACCTACACAACTTGAACAATTTAAACATGACTAAGAATCAAGTAGAACTTCCGAAGAATGTTCAGTAAGTAACTTTGAAAGATTGACATTTTGAGACAGATCCACAAATTGGCATCTACGATTTCCTCTAAAACTTAGAAGATGACATCTTTATTCAATAATATAAACATGTCATTTAATGGAAACTAGAAAATATGCTTGTAAAAGTCTTGTTTGAAGGTTCTAGATAGGTCTATCTCATTTGTTTACATTTTTGGCTGAACGACCTTGCCCTTCTATCAAGCCGCAGATCATATTTATGTAAAAGAACATAGTTTGCAAGGAAGAGCTCCATGGAAAGGGCAATAATAGTTTAGAAGAGATGAGGGGCAGTTTGAAGGGACCAAGAAATACTTAAAACAAGGCTTACCCTCCTGCTAAAAAGTGTATTAATGTATTTCGTTCCATACAGTAGCCATTCGACTCTGAAATCAGACAACAACAAGCAAATCTACACTCGGGTTCACGTGATGTCCTACAATCAACCAATCAACGTCAAGGATTAGAAATATTTCTCGATTCTGATTGGTTGAAATTTTACCCTAATAATTTCCATTCACGTTCTTTTCACGTGTTCCATTTTCACCTAAATTTTGTTTCTATTTTTAGAAAACAGGTTGGGTGATTCGGCCCTGTACGGCAAATTCCGTTGCTAAATGCCTTACGTAATATGCATTTTGCAGGTGAGCTTCTAGAAACAACGGAAAAATTGGTTTCTGAAGTAAATTTTAGAGACATGACGTCATGAAGGAGCTATGTTAAATATTTTATTTAGGCCTAATAGTAGTTGATTGGGAATGTCAATATGATGGGTGTTTTAATATTGAAAATAAACAGGTTGCCCTTCTAGGAAATTACAAAAACTAATGCAATGGCACTCAAATTAGTCAAGTAAAAACTAACAACAATGCCGCCATATCTGCATCCAATGAAAATAGCTACTTGACTCAGATCCTGCACCTTCCTCTTCCAACCATTGGCAATGTAAATATTTGGCGCCAAAATGTCACGGTTTCATGCGCAAAGATGACTAGCCATAGAATTATTTCTAACAAACTTGTTTCTTAAAATATAATGTTAATGGCAAAAACCAAAATAGCCAATGTCAGGCTGCAGAACTTTAAGCGGAAATCCTTTGTAGTCAGAAATTAATAATGAAAGAGTAATGTCCCCATCATGTGTCAAGGGAGGTAATTAGTTGAATAAAATCATTTATACCCGAATATATCTCAAACTTTTCAGAAATTGTAAAAAAGAACGGAAAAGATGTATTCAAAATGTCACATTAATGACAGAAGCCTAAAAAAAGAGAAATTTGACATGATGTGACTTCTTGAACTTTTCACCTTAGTTCTTTAATGTTGAAGATCACAAAAGGATGTTTGACCTTTAGTCTCGATTCTCCAGAGCAAAGATTTCTGATGAAATTCTGAATAACTGGACGCCGGAGACTAAAAACATGTGAAAATGTCAGAGGACAAAAAATCTTCAAATGTGTCTGAAGATGATCGAGGGTACGCGTTTTACCCGGAACGAGACCCATTGAAAGAGGGCAAAAAGGAGCCAAAGTTGTCAAACTTCTGGAATTTGGTTTTTGCTTATAAAACCCTCACACAACGTGGCAAACGAGACATCGTTACATGTAAAAGAAATGTGTCTTGGTGCTTACAAAATGGTAAGCCAGTACACTACACTACAGTCACTAAACCACCTCTCCCATTTCTGCTTAAACTGTCGAGTTCGTTCATCTCTGTACTAATAACAAGTACCATAGTTAAATTTCTGACTGGTCTGGATTTGGCGAAATGTAAGCGTTGACCCTCCCACCCCCTTCTTCATTTCTAACAAATGTAGAAATACAAGCTGGTAATGTAAAACGTTGTTGTTCTATTTTATAGTTTAAATGATTATTTTTTTCAGATCCAAGAGTAAAATTGTTATATAAAGCGATGAGGAAACAAGGCTGGTACGTAAACATTATTAAATCGGAGTTGATTAAGCTTTTTAATGATACTTTCAGATTGAGTTTAACATCATACATCTCTGAGAAAGTGCAGTTTTAAACCCACTTTCTCGCTGTTGATCAGGTATTCAGTGACGTCACATAGGCTATTCCTTTATATGACGTCGCCATCTTGTCTATGGATGATGATTTGTTTTAACTTCAATGTCATAAGAACAAGGCGTGAATAAGGTCAATGAAGTTGATTCCCTTCCTAGCCATCCCAAACTGGAGTTTTTATATTATTTTTTATTATGTTTTAGTAATGTTAATATAAGAAGACATATAGCCTGTGAACCTTGTGTGGGACCAGTTAGTGGTGGATACGATCCTTCTGTGAATCAGGTAGGTCATCTAGAGTTTCCTCTTTCGTAAAGATGCCTTCCCTTATTTTCATTTATTTATATATTTGATAATTAGACTGCATATTCTCATATTAAATGAAAGTAGAGGTGAATGATTGAAATACCAGTTTGTCTTACAAGTCCATAATTTACTAAGGGATTCGATGAATCACAATTTAGTTGCACGCAAAGTTTAGAAAACCTCTTTCCAATCCCTTGAAGATGCAAAGGCATTATTAAAATTCTGGAAGGCATATATTGCCAAGTACCTTTAGAGCAGGGTTTCTCTACTGGTAGTGCCTGCGTGATTCGTGGTGCTTCAGTGATTGCAAATTGGTGCTCAAGGGAATTTGCTCCACTGTTGCTCTGCTAAGGATGTGGCCCTTCAACCTTGGGTTAATTTACTTAACAAACCCTGCTTCAGAATATCTAGAAACACAATGCATACAAAGATCTCATCACTATTGTCACATTCATTCCAGAGAGTTCACATGCATCCCTTATCTTTCAGGTGGTTGTATGTGCCAACAATAAAGGAACACATTGTAATGTATTAGCTCATGAATTTGTTCACATGTATGATTTGTGTCGAGCCAAGGTCGATTTCGATAATCTTGAACATTTAGCTTGTACTGAGGTAAGAGTTGTGTCCCTTTATCTATTGCCCAATATGAATGTTGAAGGAGAAAGCAAGGCCAAGAAAAGGCTTCGGTCAAACCCTGCGGAAATGCCATGGGTAGAAAAAGCTATTAATGATATATATTATAATATATTGGCTATAGTGACGTCATCAAACATTTAGTTTTAGTGGAATTGCAGGAACCACAGATTTGAAAATTTCGGTGGTGCAAATTGATACTATCAGTGTCTTGATACACATACTAACATTTAGAAAACCTCTTTACAATCCCTTTAAAGTACAGTTCTATATAATTGTATATTTTTAGATTCGAGCTGCTAATTTTATGCACTGTACTCGATTGTCTGCCTGGGCTTCAAATATTATATCATGGAATGATTATACGGCAAAACATGCGGTATGTCTTTCATTTTCTATCAGTGGTGGCGCTAGCCTTGGAACCTTGGGGTTCAAATAGGGGAGACAACTGTCAAGGTTTATATATTTAATATGCGGCAGCTCCGTGGAAGGGCCATAGGCACAAGTCTCTCAATGAGTCTCTGAGAATGTTCTCAAATAAATTTTTGAAACATTGTGACACATATTTAGATGCGATGTTTAAAAAAATCGTATTTTTAAATATTTTAGAAGTGGGATTTGATTTTGAATAACTCATTGCAGTGCCATCTTCAGATTGCTTACACGGCTTAAAAAAATTACCTGTATATTTTTTCAGGTCTGTGTAAAAAATCAAGCTATAAAATCGATTATCCATGTGAGAAATGTGCCATTTGAGAAGGCGGCTGAAATTGTTGATAAAGTGTTTGATAAGTGCTATCAGGACCTGGAACCAATTGGACGGCGCCCACGACGCAACTCGTCTGATGCAGATTGCGCTTTAGTTGAGGGTATTTTATATGGTTATGATTGACGAAAGTGAACATTAGAATTTTTAAAATGTATTTAATGAACAGTGTGACTTCGGGTTTAGAAAATGGCTGCAAATGGTGAATAGGTGATGAAGGGTACAGAATCTTTTTGAAGCAATTTGTAATGATGGTTGCTTGATTGGTGATTGTGCTTGCATATTCGTTTGAGGCCAAAATTGTAACTTGTTCAGAACTCACCAATCAAATGCCGCCATCTTAACCAGATTGGAGAAAGGCTTCCGGGACAAGCAGACAATCGTATTTTCAATAGCCCAATCCGAAAGAGAGCTTGGACTAAAATCCTTATCCTGTCAATAGTAAATGATAATTAAAAACTTGTTTTGAAATTGCTAGATATTTTATTGTACTCTGTCCCAGCAGATTATTTCATAACAATATATATATATTAGTAACAGTGACATACATGATAAGCCTGATTTACAAAGGAACAGGCACAGGCAGGAAAATCTCAGTGGGTTTCCGAGTCAGATCAGAAGATCTAATATTATGAACAAACATAGATTTAGTACATCCAGTCAAAAGGAAAGCTAGGTCTTTTTTTTTGGGGAATTCTTGTACAGATTTTCATCTAGAATGTATGAAAAATGAAGAAAACTAGGTCTCTGGATGTACCTCTATTTTGTCATTTTGAAATTTGACCTTTTGACCTTAAGATGGATCAGAGATTCTTGTAGCTTATTTTGAACACTGGACGGGAAAATGATTGAACACTGTTTAAATATGCAAAATATCAAGAATAAATTATTTAAATTTACATATTGAGCAGTCCTGCTGCAATTAGGTCAATACTAATTATGCACATAATTTGTAACCTTATTATGCACCGAGGTCAATACTATCTTCATTGATATTGATATTTTAATTATGCATGTATTTACAAATTATGCAAATTTACAAAGCTGATATTTTTTTCTAAGCTAATATTAAAAGCAGATTTACAAAGCAGTAACAAAATTCATAAAAAAATAATCACAAATTGCATAGAGATCTTGGATATGATTCAAAATTTTACATGACCAAATGAAAGCCTTCAATTCAAAAGCATGGAAACATTTCCCAAATATCTCATGACTTGAGGTCAAATACAGCCATCTGATTGGAGAATATAGTTAAATCCTTGCATCAAAACATGAGTGTTTAGCTCAAAGTTTCTGCCATTTTGTACCATGTGCTTAAACATCATTCTCATGTCAGTTCATGTTGATTCCTTCAATGTAGGACGTAAAACTCCATTCATTTCGTTTACATCAAGAATTCAAGAACATATTTGCAAATATGACTTTTGCATCAGACTGACCAATCAGACAACTGTCAACATTTAAGTTTTGTTTAATAGTCTCACACAAAAAATTTTAAGAAAAAAATTTTGAATTAACAATCGATAACAAATGGACAAAAAAAATGGAATGTTAGTAATTTTCAGAAAAATATGAGGACCTTAAAATTTAACAAACAATTATAACAAAGAATTTTTTAAGCTGCAACAGTAATGGTGGCTTTTTGACTTCTGTTGGTAAAATTGTTGTTTCGTGTACACATATAGTGGTATTTGCCCTGTTTAAACTTGAGGACCACACCTGGGTAGGAGGCTGGAGTGTTGTCAAGGGTTACCTGCATCTTGTCTTTGGTGTCAACTAAGAAATCTTTGAATGATTCTGCTGGGCAGTCAGTGGCAGAAACACATCTGGAAAAGAAGTAGGTATTTGAGAATCAATGTAAATCATGGCATATACAGTTAAATATTTGTTTTATGCAGACTTTAAATATTACAAGGGCCCTGTGTGCTACAGACTGTACATGTTTAAGATCTTTCAACAGTTAAAAATCCAAAAAGAGTAGGCTAATGCCACTGTCTTGGCAAAATTTCCCTTATTACACACTGCATGTCATTGCTCTTTGTTAGCCCAAAATGGAACCGAAATGTAGTGCCTCAGGTCTCATCTTAACGACACATAAAACTTTTAGAACACAACCAATATACTTACTTGTAATAACCAGAGGAAGCCATATTGAGGGCCAGATCACGAGCAGAGACATCGTTTTTACCGTGATATATCCATTTAATTTCAGCATTATCCCACATATTAGTTTTTTCGAATGGAAGAGGGAAATTTTCATTCCTGTCGGCCATTTGTAAAATATTGTGTCTGTCAGATCCTAGAAAAGAAAAACAATTTTGAAATAAACACTATGACTGGTGTTACTATAGTGATGGTAAAGGGTGTTTTGTCGTAGATCGTTGTTAAAATTGTAGCAAATATAGTCAGGAACAAGAGCCATCCATTTTATTTTGGATGTAAAACGAAAAAAAATTAAAACTTACCTGATTTGCCCTCACCAGCATCACCCGTTTGCCCATCACCACCTGGTCGGCCATTGTTGTGGGTGTTTGAACCTGAAATTAACCAAGAATTCTGCATTTACCACTAGTATAATAGGTAATCATTATTTTTGAGCTATTCTTTTGAGCTGTTTTTTTTTAGCTATTCTTTTACGCTTTTCTTTTAAGCTATTTTTTTAGCTATTCTTTTGGGCTTTTCTCTTGGGCTATTCCACAGTTGGATAGCTCAGTAGAGAGTTGATGTCTTGAGTTTTAAATAAGAAAAGTGGGACAAAAATTCAGAAAGACCACTTGATCAAATCTCTCATTGCCATTTTCTTTATGATTCAAAATTTCGATGTAGCCTACCTGTCCATTGGAAATGAACCAAATCGTTTTCCGTGACTTCTAAATCAGTTGGAGTAAAATCATACTCGACAGCTGGGTAGACTTGAACAATGTTACCACGTTTTCCACGGACATTCACGTTAAAGATACGGAAATCTTTGATATCATCTGGACGTGGTTTCAATTGGAAGATATGAGTACGATCTTGGAAGACTCTGCCAAATTGAGCCGTGTTGATGGCTAGACGTAAAGGTCCTCTGCCCACACCGATATCAACGTATGGGTTGTTGGTGACTGGTGAATTGTCTGCCCTGAAATCCAAAAAATCAAGAATTGTAAGTTACGATTCTTGATGAGCAAGCCCCATGATCAATCCTGAACAGGTAGGTGTGCAATGAGGGAAATTTGGTTATGGTTGTGGTGACATTTTGTAGGATTCATATCTTAACTGATCAAGCCCTGTTCATAATCTTTTTCCTTCAGATGGAGCTCAAGCTGAGACAGGACAACAATTCAGTCTACTCTTTGATTCCCAATGAAAAAAATATATCCCATATAAGGAGATGTCTTTGATTGTCTTGAATTTTCCTCAAATGTTTCAGAGTTGTTGCCCTTGTCTTAATCACAATACCAAGTTTAAACTTACCCATTGAATTCAGAATCAGTATTAAATGGGTCATAATCATCAGTACTAATATTATATCTGTAAAAGAATCAAAATAAACCTGGTAATGCCAGAAATTAATATTTTAACTCTGTGCAGTGTACAATGGGTAAACTTTTGCAAAGTTAAAGCAAACTACCACTTCTTCTTTTCCAATTTTAAATAAAGGTATAGACAATGTCTTGGAACCTCTGAAGACATGCAGACATCAAAATATTTGCCTGAAGGTGACTAACCTCGATTAGTATTTGTTGAATTGTAGGTGTATAGAACATCATATTTTAATTGTGAAAAGTGATACAGATGACTGAAAATATGGTCTTACCTCATTCTCATGACACAGTTTTGAACCTGACCAGATGGAAAGTGGGGAAGCGTCCATTGAACAGTGTTCATTTCACCACCAATACCATTTCCAAGATGGTTGGATCTGAAAGCAAATAATTGAAATATAAAATGCCAGTAAATTTGCAAACGAAATGGAGTTTAACATCCTAATGTTCCTGATCAAATAAAAAAAGACAACTCCATGCAATTTGCAATAAGAGCATTAGCCTATATCTTTTTATTTTCCAACTAACAATGGATCTATGTGTACAGTCTGCAGCACACAGGGCCTTAGTTTAGCTTCAAATTAATTACTGGAACAACAGACTTTAGCTTGGAAATAAGACTGTTTCAAATAGAAGCTAGATAAACATCTAGACTAAATAAGCTAGAAAAAAAAACTTCTGGGCTATAAGTGTCCCAAGATAAATACAAAAACCTGGCCGCATATTCTCAAAAGGATCTTAGCGCTAGGAAGTCCTAGGGTCTTAACTTTTAACATTGTTACTTGGATATCCTAGCGCTAAGATCGTTTCGAGAATAAGTAGCCAGAAAGCCTCTACTTACCGTGACCAAGGAGCTTCTTGACATTGAGGGGAGGGTACTTTAACCAAACATTCAGCAGTGAAAGTTGTGGAATCGTAAGGTATCGCCCATGTATACTCGATATTATTTGTAGATTTCGCTTGGCAGGCTGCTTGGGTTGAAGCTGAATAAAGAATACTTCAAATTAGCCATTGGAAAGCATTTAGTAATGTAATGGTGTTCTTGCAAAGTTCTCATACATAATTTGATTTGTGGTATTATCATTATGAATATAATGATATACTGAATGGCTAAATGTTGAAGATTGTCAATGGCAAAATTAGTCAGACAGGACTGGCAAATACAGCCAAGTCAACAGCACTGATATCTTGATCAAAATCTCATTATGGTGTGTGCGTTTTTCCAACTTGTTCATTTCATGTCAGACAACAAGATTTATTAGAATTATTTGAGAGAAAAAGGTGTGCATTATGCTCGTGATTTGTGTTATACCTGTTTTATCCTTTTCTAAGTAATTATGAAACGCGACCCAGTCAAGACCATTCTCTTCACATTCTTCCTTATTGTTATAGCGGGATGGTTTACGAACTTGGCTATTAGGGAATTTCTGTAAACAGGCTCCATAAGGTTTGTTGTTAAAACTTTCAGCTATTAAAGGACTGAAACGGAACAGAAAACAGTGAAAATAAATATGGCTATGAATTTTTCAGAAATTAACATTTTCTGCTCCTGTTTGAAATAATGAAGATTTGCAATGCTATGCAGTTGGCAATGAAGTAATTTATTCCAGGATGATTTTAAATTTCCATCTTTAGAGGGATTTTTCAACTTCAGATGATGTTCAAAGACAAATGCTTAGCAATTTCAGGCAAATGATACTTAATACCATTGCAAAGGGTAGTTGATTTATGGCCTGTTTCCTGCCAAAAACTACGGCAAAAGTTATTTTGATGATAGGTCTTGGGGTGGTGATAAGACAGAAGAAGCACTCAATAACAACTCACTTGCATAAGGTTTCATTTTCCGCTAAAATGGCAATGTCCTTCCATTGTGTTGGATGCCAATAGGGGAAGTAGTCTCTTTCTTCAGGGCACTCATAGCCTCTTCGGTTACCATTAGGATTCTGTCGAGTGTAGATGGCAGAACTGTAGCCTAATCCATTGTTGCCACGGAGATTCTGATCAGCAGTAAATAAACCTAGTTACGAAAAAAATAAATTCTGAAATCATCTAAATCTTAAAATGATATATGATATTATGAACTAAAGCATTCTGAACACATACACCTTTCATTGTGCCACAGCTCAGTTCTCTGTAGCAACAAGGATCCATTTTTAATTTTGGGTATATGGTTTTTAACAAGCTATTACAGAATGGTTCTTATGACTTGTACCTTGACTGCAATAGTCACCTTTCTAGTATCACAGAAGTTTGTGAATGCAGCAATTTGTATGTAAGCCATTACAAAAACCTTACCCTTGTTTCTCTCTCTGACAAAACACTCCTCATACCAATCCCAAGATTCCTGAAGACCTCGATCAGCTTTCACGTTGTTATTTTTTCGGGAGTTACGATTGGCTAGATTGTAGTTACTGTTTGGGGGACGGTTGTAATCTTGGGTATTAGTGACCACGCCATTTCTCAAAACATCTTCAGTAGCTACAAGAAAGTAACACATTTACAAACTTAAATTGGATTCAGTTTTCAACAGTTTCAATTGCTTCAGAGCTTCAAATACTAATTTTTGCAACTGCAATTGGTATGTAACAGTGACCATTGTATTCGGTTGTCAAGAGACAAGTTTGACTTTTAACTACTGAAAACATGACTAACTACCATAGATAAGCTATGGATGTCAACAAACGTTAACTATCATATCTCAATGCTTTTACACAACAGAACAATTAGAAGATCTATTGTGAACATATCTCTCAGAGAACTGTTGTCAGATTCAAGTGACGTTAGTGAGATCCCATAAGTGAATCAAAAAACTTTGCTTACTTCCTTCTGGTTGGCACATATACTGTAAAACCTGGAATTTACAAGAATAAAATATGTATTAAGATCGATGCAAAAGAAAATTAATGACACAAAATTGCAACGATAAAGGACGGAAATTTGATTGACCAATCAGAGGACTGTAACACTGAAATCATCCCATAATACTCGATTGAAACATAATCCTTTTATGGCTTTGGACTACCTCAGTAGGATTGTCATCTGCTGGACGATAAATTGCAGTAGTTCTGAATCTTCAAGATAAGAAATATTCTGATGCGTCTGCCTCCTCTTCAAGATATGAAAATTCCGCCAGTTGGCCTGATGTCGTCATTCAAACCACAATAACTGTGTTACAATTTGTAAAACTGGCTCAACTTACCAATCTACAATTTTGTTTCTGTGGGTTATCATCTTCATTTCCTCCACAACCATGTTGATTATACCACTCTACTGTTAATATAGTCTCTGCATCAGCCTCACTTTGGAAATAGGCCTGAAAATAAGTATATCAGATAATTACTTTGTTTTGAGGATAATGACTTAGTTGTTTGGATAATGACTTAATTGTATGGATAATGACTTAATTGTATGCATAATTACTTAGTTTTAATGATTTATTTGATAAAAAAGAGATTCTCTTGTAACTTTATGACACCAGATAAGTCCACTGATGAATATATACTCTTATTGATCGAGTTTGAGAATTTAAATTTTATATTCATTCTAAGGGGTAGTATCCCTTTAATAACAAATGAATGTATAATATTTGTACCAGTTAGTAACAACTCATATAGTTACAGGATACTGTCACTTCAGACTTCAGATATAAAACATGAGAATATCAAATAAGGAGATTGTTTGCAATATCAAGTGTTCAGAATGAGTTGTATGATTCATTTGATGTAGACACTATACTTGACAATGACCTACTTCTTTCATCAATTATAGGATATAAGCTTAGTCATCTAAATATTCGTTTTTTTGTCTTAACAAATGATTCAAACTAGAAGTCAAACTATTTTGAAGTAATGGTCACTTCAGACTTCAGACTTCAGACTTCCTTTTTTGATTCTTTCATATACTTTAATTCACATACATATTCATTATTCATATTACTTTCATAGCACAAAACATTGCGCACATCCAAAACAATTAGTTTTAACTATCAGTGATATCGTCTTCTAAATTTTACTTTAGCACAAAATATTGTGTACATCCAAAGCAATTAGTTTTGAGCGACCTTATTCATCAAAGTGATGTAATCGTCTAAATATTTCTTTTCATAGAACTAAAAAACATTGCGCACATCCAAAGCAATTAGTTTTAACTGACCTTATTGATCTTCCAAATTTTACTTTCATATTAGCGAATTGTGCACATCCAAAGCAATTAGTTTTGAATGAAATTTTAATTCAAGTTTTTTTTAACCAGTTACCTTCTGAATGTAGAAGTGAATGCATGAAAATATGGAAATAAATTCTTACCATTTTATATTGTTTACTAGCATCTTTTCCATGAGGGGCACTTGTTACATCTCCTACATTGTATCCTCCTCTATTGTTATTCTGGAAGATAGAAAAACAATATTAGAGATCCTTTAAACATACTGTCATCCAGTTGGTTTTTGGGCAATTACTGGTCATTTTCTTGATAATTATACTGGAAGTTTATTTGATTTACCAGACTATACAGAGATTCTGTTGTCCACTGATGAATATATACTCTTATTTGTCCATTTTATGTCCATTCTAAGAGGTAGGTTACCTTTAAGCATTTAAATATATAAAAACATCTTAAGGTATATATTTAAATGTTGATAAAAAAAAAAAAGTTTTCGTCTCAAAATGAAAAATTATCGCTAAAATTTAACGTAAGCTCACCTGAGAGTCAAATAATCTGTTGGCGTTCGCCCGTTGAGCAGACTTTTCATTCAGTCTATCGTTACTACCTCGGGGATTGTGTAGATATATATCAGCCAATGACTGACCAGCTAATAACGCTAGTATTACAAACAGCTTCATCATCTCTAACAATGATGACCCTAAAATATCAAAAAAGGAAAAAAATGACAAATATGTTTGGAATTGAAAAATCAATGGAGTTTTACATCCTACTGTTCTCCTCTAGAAAGAAATAATTCTGATTACTATTACTAAAATATCAAACGAAAATAACATGAAACAAAGTTTTTACATCCTAATCTTCTCTGTTAAGGTTCAAGTAATGAAGACAAAGGTATGCAGTATGGAATGAGGCAAATTTGACAGGACAGCTGCACTAGTCTATTCATTTTACAAGGGACCTTTAGCACAGCCTATAGCACATGAAGCCTCAGAAATACTTAAATATATAAAACTTCAATATAGTGTGCATTGAGAACATTCAGGATTAAATTTTTCGACCAAATTACTAAGTGCCAATTACTAATTGTGCCTATCACAAATTATGCATATTACCAATTTGTGCCAATCACTAATTCTATGCCAATTACTAATTGGGTCTATCACAAATTATGCCAAATACTAATTGTGACAATTACTAGTTTGTGCATATCACTAATTTTATACCAATTACTAATTGTGCCTATTACTAATTGTGCCAATTACTAATTTGTGCATATCACTAATTATACCAATTACTAATTGTGCCTATTACTAATTGTGCCTATCACTAATTATGCCAATTACTAATTATTCCTATTACTAATTGTGCCTATTACCAATTTGAGCCTATCACTAATTTTATACCAATTACTAATTTTATACCAATTACCAATTAATTTCAATTGCTCTAATTGATATATATCTTCCAGGCATTTACTATACCATATACAGATATCACAGTAAAAAAAAGATAGCTTTTAACTTGTCATTGTCAGGTCAGAAAATTTTAAAGCGTCCATTCAATAGGAAGAAATCAAAATTATCATGCTTGCAACCAAATACAATGCATTCATGCCCCTAACAAGCATTTTTACAATATGACAAAATGTCAACCATTAAATACAAAACACCTGCCTATTCAAACAAAATTCAATATCCCTATTCAAATATTGCCAGTATGACATTTTCCTTGTTGCCCAATATTCAATAGATCACCAAATAAGTTATGACTCATAGAGGACACAGTCAATCCTTATACTGGCCATTTCAAAAAATGGTGACAGGCAAAAAAACAAACCAAAATTTGTCACTTAATAACCAAAAACATCAATTAAATTTTCAAAGAAATGAAGAAAAAAGCATTCTTAATTGTACCCACCTGATGCCAAATAGAATCTCTCAAGTTATGGCCAAGAGTGAACGTTCACAGTCTTTTTATATCCAATTTTTTGATTGAATTATGAAGTCATTTCACTCAAGTGTGAGAATTGTTATTCCTTGATCACGTAAATAACTTTTATTATCCTTCCGCCTGATTTGCTATCAAAATATCCTACAGTTCATTGAATGTACACAAATTAATTTTCAATTGTGAACTAATTTAGTGGTATTGAACGTCAGGGGGTGGACGAGTCACGACAAGTCTCCCCTCAAGCCAAGATTAAAATTTAATCCTTAGAACTAATTCTTTGACGTAAGGCGTATTTATGTGAGTGATTTGGTTTGTGATTATTTTCGGTCGAACAATAATCAGAAATAATTCGACTTCATATCAAAATAAAACTGTTCAGATGGAATTAATTCATAAGGGATTTGAGGAAAAATTATTGTAAACATTATTCAGTTGAGAACTAACTCTGTCAAGATGAAGTTTGTTCTAAGTTTGATATTTTTGGGGTTGAGTTGTTGTCAACTAACCTATGGTGATATCTATTTTCATAACCCAAGGTATGTATTAGTCTTTCCTTTATTTGGTAATTTTGAATTAAAAGTGTTTTAGAATTCAAATATCTTGATTTGAGGATAAAATTTTGAAAGCATGTATGACTTGAAACTTAATTTAGAATTTATGCTTAGTTTTATAGAAGATATAAGTAATCTTAGTTTATCTTCAATAAAAGCATTGGCCAAGGCTATTATTTACTAGAAACTAATTTTTTATTTTAAATTATCAAGATGAATTTGAATTTTTTTAATTTATTTTTAACATTTAGTCTCAAAAATTGAAATATTAGTACCTTCTGTCATATACTTATTTAATATCTCCCAAGTAAGTTAAATATAAGCTAAAAGGAATTGTATATATATATATGTATATGGTGTGTATATCATATAGAGATTTCATTGATATACCATGGTTTATATACATATATCAATATTGACTGTAAGATATAGCTGATATACCACAGTTGGTTATTACTTTGTGACACAAAATGTTTACTTGTGGAACAAAATTCCATGTATTAATGTTTTGTGTTGTATTTTGTCATCGATTTTAGACTCTCAATTTCAAATTTTTAATCATTAATTCTAAGATCTAAAAAGCTTGTTGCTATGAGCCCCTTTTGACAAAACTGTGTCCCCTACGTGGGCCCTGAAAACTAAAGATTCATAGAAAGACATCTTGTAGCATGAATCTTTACTTTGTGACCTAGGCCAGTGCTTTTATGAGACTATGTTCTCATCACCATCTAACACTTTTGGCAGTCGAACAGCTGAGTCGGTAGCGAGGTGGATTGTCGTCTGCTAGGCGATTAGGTGCCGTGGGTTCGAATCCTCCTCATGGTAAAAATTCTCATACCTGTGTCAGTGCTTTTGAGAGTTGGCGCAGTGTCGGCTCTCACCCCCTAACACCACTGCTCATGAGAGGACAGGTATGATAGCTAGGATAAGATTATGAGAGTGTTAATATCAGTGTTATAGGTGTAGTGTTCAGTGTAAAATCCCAGGGTCAACAATGTTATGTCAACATTACTAATTAAACAATAATGTTAATTATCGATTCTAATTAATTCTAATCAGGTAAAACAGAAGTTTGATATTTTTTATTAGATTACACCTTGTTAACGAGCTTAAAAAAGAAGGATAACCACTATTAGTTTTATTATTAAAGAGCTAAAAAAAACATTACTCAAGTCTTCGGACCCTGGGGTACTATCTGACAAACTATTTTGAAGATTTTTAAAATATGTTGTAGGTACTCTCAGTATATTAACATATTTGTTGATAATGACAAAATTTAATGTTTTTTTTTTTTTAATGTCATTTTCTTGGGAGAACACTTTCTGATGTTTCAAGAGAGGCTTAGTTTATGATGCACCCACAGAGTTGCTGCATTTTGAATTACAGCTTTGACAGTTGTCCCCCTATTTTGTCAGTCTTCCTCTTTTGGTACCCCAAGTCTCAGAAGGTTGGCACCTCCACTATTTCAATTTCAGTAGGACAAAATCATAACACTTAGAAGTGAGCTCAAGCTTATGATAATCTGTCAAAGATATTTGCACACATCTGGGGATCGAACCCTACACAAACAGTATTAAGTTACTGTATTTAATGATATAATATTTGTAAATGTACATATTTAAAATACACCTGATATATAATGATATTGATTACTGATAATATCTCTTTAAATGCGTTAGAATTTTTTCCTGGGTATGCGTTATCTTTGACTGACTAATATTAACAGGGATATCTAAGATAGGAAAAGCATCAAATTTCAGAATTTGTGACAAAATTGTTATAGGATACCTTATTGTATTAAACTATCCTGCAAATGATATCTACTAACAGCAAGCCTGGGAGGCTAGTAAGGCTGAGGCATATTTGCCCCTACCCCCCTGAACAATTTAGATGACTTGAATTAATTGTTGAGTCACATAGTTGAATCCCTCCCCCCCC